AAAAGAAAAACGTGTCACATAAATTGGGACACCCCCCCGGTTGAAAAACAGTACACATATAAATATTTAAAATATTTGATCAAACATTAATTGTTGTTTGAAGATGTTTTTTTGTATTTTTTAAAATAAGCTAATTTTAAAAATTTGACTAAACAAATCCGAAGATATTAGTTGTCTGTGGGGGTCTTTTGGACTTTTTAATTTTCGATAAAGATGCATCAATGGTGTATGGTTCATTACAAAAGTTAGGCTCAATACATATGTGAGTATGTGACCCCTAAATTTGTCAAAGAAAATTATTTAGACTCCTCAATTAGAGGTGTAACCTATGGAACATATATCATAGTTTTAAATGTGTCTATTGAACACATATTTGACAAGTCTAAACAAGTTAGGCCTCGTTTGAATATTATTTGAAATTAAAATTTGTTTTAGATATGTAATTTGAATTTCTCTTAAATATGAAAATCTTACCAGTTATGAAAATTATCAAAATTTATGTAACACTTATATAATTTTACCAAAATGAGCAAATCATAATTTATAAATAATACATCGAAATATTTTAAGGCACCAATCACCGCATTGATAAATCTCATATCTTCTTGTTCCTTTTGTAAATAAATATTTGTGATTACAAACTTTCAAAAACACATAAATTTATAAGGGATAATGAATAAGTACCCCTACACTATGACCGAAATCTCAGAGACACACCTAAACTTAACTAGAGTACTATCACCCCTAAACTAATTTAAAATGGAATAAATACACCACAAACGTTGACATGTCATAGAGAGAGTGCACACTCTCTTGAAGGCAAGTGATGAGTGCACAAATTAGACACATGTCAATTTTTGATTGGTAACTTAATAATTAGTTAGTACACATATTTATTGATAATAAATCTTATATATATTTAATTATTTTCATTTCTTTCTTTGTACAATAATTATTTTAATAAATTATGTGTATTTAAAAAAAACAATTTAAAAGTGTCCTTTAATTTTAATGTTTTAATATTTTTATGTTTTATTTGATTTTCTTCACTTATTTTGATATCCGTTCAAAATTAACTTATTTTAAATACAAGACATTGCAAATAAAATCAAAACGAAAGACAAAGAACATAAACTGAATAGAAAAATAAAACAGAAAAAACAATTAATGTAAGTAAAAAAAAATAGTTTCGATACAAGGTAAAAATAATGTGCATTAACTTTATTTAAATACAATTTTTTTTTTTAAATAATAATTTTTAATTAAGAAAATAATATTTACACACATGGCGGGTGAGTGTGTACAAACACAACCATCTTGGGTGGTTGAAGGTGCCACATCAACACAAAAGGTGCACAAAAATACGAAAAAATGAGTTAAGGGGATAATAGGATCTTAGTTAAGTTTAGGTGTGTCTCTGGGATTTCGATCATAGTCAAGGGGATACTTATGCCTTATCCCAATTTATAAAGATCTACAAGTCAACAATAGTAGTAACTAGTTATTTTTAATATAATCTTTTTACATGGTACGGACAATCTCTAAACGCTGAACATGAGTTCTTTTCTTCGCAATATTTAAAATGATAGTCTTTTTTTAAAATAAAATATAAATTTATGCATCAAATTTTATATTTTTAAAAAAAAATTATGATTTGAAATTCAAAATCATATTTTTGAAGAACTTGGATATCTTAATAATGTCCCTCTTTATCTTGGAGAAAATCACATGCCCTCTTATATAGCTTCACAAGCACAACTCATATGGACTTGTTTGGATGGAACTATCTAACCAATTCAAATTAAAGGCCCGTTTCTAGATACCCGTTTACTTTCCTTCTAGCATCCAAGCACGCACCCTCCTCTCCATTAGCTGAAATCCGATCTCATTCGTTGATTTGCAGAGTTGTTATCTCTCCCTCAATCTCCAGTTTTTTTTTCATCATCATCCGTATCCGGAGTAGAGTCCTCAACAACCTTCTCAACCTTAGTCACGATGTCTCATCAACTCCTGGAATTGAAGGAGGCTCAGAAGCCTGAACTTCGGGAAGCGGTACCTTGCCCCAAAAGCATAATAATATATGTGGACTTGAGCTCGTTTACATCCTTCCTCAACACCAACACATCATCCCTTCAAGGTTGTCAAAACAATCGACTTACCCATAACTTTTTCCTATTGGTCCAATTCATTAACCATGATGTATCGAATGTCAATAGTTGAACGGAGAACTCTCGAGTCTTTCTTAGTTTTGTGAAAATATAATTGTTTTTCATATGATATTAATATTTACTTTGTAAAATTCTGATTTCCTATAATTATTATTTTTACGAGTTAATTGCAAACTTATTTGCTTTCATATGTGATAATGATTCTAAAGTTCTGATCTTTACGAATATGAAAAGTAAATCAAATTTCTAAAAATATTTTCTCAAAAAGAAAGATTAAACATTTTTAGTTTTTGGTTATTCAACTTTTAGCTAGACAGACAAAAAAAATAAAAAATCATTGTGACTTTTGTTCACATTGATACTGTTTTCGACTCAATAGATTGAGTGGTCTAAAACCAAAATTTAAAAAAGAGATTTAAGTTTATTTATTTTTTTAATATATTTTATTTTTATAAATTCTAAATTTTTTATTGTAACTGATTATAATTTAATAATTAATTTTTCTTTTTCATTTGATAGTATAACATTTCTTGTAATATTTGTAAGACAAAAATAAATATATATAAATTATTGTACGTTGCATAACAACACAAATGTTTAAATCTTGCTTATTGACTATAGTTTTAAAACTTTTTTCAATATAATCAATTGTTACATAAGCTATCAAAATTATTTAAAGGTGTTTTAAAATAAAACTGACTTCACTTTATTGAATATGCCAATTAGAGTATCATTTTTTTACTTATATATATTTCGTAATACTTTTAATTACAAAATCAATAATATAGTGATTGTTATTTTAGAAGACAATATTTTTTAAAATTCAATTATTTGATAATCTAATTGGTTTAAGCTTAAGACAATCTTACAAAGCCAATTTAAATTATGGAAAATTACGCGTATAAGCAAACATATATGAGTTAATTAGTTAATATAGCTATAGTTTGCCTTAATTACAATTCGCGATCTACTTTTAGCTATAATTACGCGGCTCAACTTTTTAGTTTTGTATAATTCACACGTTTGTATAATTTGAAATTTGTATAACTTTTGTATAATTCGAAATTTGTATAACTGTTTACATTTTTTATGTTTGTAATTGTATAAATTCGTTATTTCGAGTTTATACGAAAATAAGTGAATTATAAAAATGTATCCACAAATTATACAAACCTGCGAATTATACAAATCCGCAAATTATACAAACAAGACGACTTAAACTGTAGCTACAGCCTGCAAATATGCAAACTATAGCAATGTAACATAATTAAGTTTATTATAGTGGCTATATGTGAAAGTTCCCCTTTAATTATCTACAATTTTTAATTATAATTACATCAATAGTAAAATTTTAAAAATATGTGCATAATACTCCCTCGGTCCTTATTTACTTGTCAAATTTTGATTTGCATTTATTAAGAAAATAATGATTGATGTAACAAGTTTAGCATTTTACCCTATTAATTGATAGATTTTCAAATATATTTACTCGTTATATTTTTGAGAAAATGGCTAAATGACCCCCAACCTATTACTGGATTTCCAACTACACATCTGTTCTTCGCGGGAGTCCTATTATCCCCCCCTGAAATACTTTAAAATGGAATAAATAACCCCTTAAGTGTTGAGTTGGCATAGAGTCTTTGAGAGAGTGAGTTGCCTATATTTTATTTTTTTTAATTTTCGTTTTTTTTCTACTAGATTTTTTTTCTTTCTCTTTCTTTCTTCTTATTTATCTATACAACTATACCTTTTTCACCATTATCACTATTGAAGCTTTTTCAATGTATGTTTGGTATAAAAATTATCAACAACTAATGCATTTTATGAATAAATAATTTTTCAATAGACTTATTTAGAACATATCTAACAAATTAAATTTATTTTTTAAATAAACATACCCATTAATTGTTATTTTTTTTAAAGTCATGGACACAAGAGTAACAAAATCAATTGTATATTTAAAAAGTATTTTCAAACTTATTAAAAGGATTTCTTCTACATTTTTTAAGAAGGATCCAACATGTTCTCCTAAAACCCATGAAGAATCAAAATCAAAACTCAAATTATAAATTAATCATGAAAATTTTAGAGGGAGAAAGAATAAAGAATGGGGAAGAGAGAGGTTTCTCAAAATGGTATTACAAATTGGTCTCAAATTGGTCTTCTCATCCGCGATGATTTTGAGTTGTCGACGAAATCTTTAGGGGATGAATCTGATCTCAAATGTTCATGGCCCATTTAATGTGTATCTGTAATTGTCAAAGGAAGAAAATTGAACGAAATGTAAAAAAATCTGGAAAAATTGTTGAATTGGTTGGATGAAAGATTTGATTAGGACCGCTGGGCTCTAGAGATTTGGAGTAGATGAAACGGTGACTTGAATTTTTGTTTTTATAAATTGTTAGAGATATATAAATTTATTGAGGTAAAAAATGGTATTTATTATAGTTAGGGTTGAAGAAATGATTGAGGAAGAAAGGAAGAGGAAGGAGGAGAACTTTTTTTTAAAATTTTATTTATTAAATGGTGAAATACATGTGCCAAGTACGTGTATTTCACCACAAGACACATGCCTGATAATGACATTTCAGGGAGGAAATAATTCCACTTTAAAATAGCTCAGGGGGTAATAGGACCCAGTGAAGTATATGTGTGTAGTTGGAAATCCGGTAATAGATTGAGGATTATTTGGCCATTTTTCTTATATTTTTCAAAGATATTTACTCAATGTTAATAAATTTAGAGTATATTAAACAAAAGAAATTTAGAGTATAATAAATAAATATTTTAAAAAAATATATTTTATGGATATTTTATTTCTTCCCAAGTGTGCTAATGGTTAATACGGTGCTTCTCATAATTAATAATAATATTTTACCTCGCCTTCATCAGATCTGGTTGTCTCTTTTATGTATGTAAATCTCCTTAATCTGTTCTTCGTTTAATTTTGCCTCTTGGTTGAATTCATTTCTTTTTTGTGCATCTTCGGTATGTTTTCGTATTTGAGTGAACTGAATTTGTTTTTTTTTTAGTTCTGCTTTTGTGGATTTAGGGTTGAGCCGCTCTTGCTTGCGTGCATCTCGATTAATTTATGGGGTAGCTTGTTGTCTAGCTCACAAGTACAGGTTCTGTCTAGTGTTGCAGCTGATATTCGAACTTGGGATTTTTCAGTTTTTTTACTCACTAGGTCATTCCCTTGGGCGGGGGTGGATTTATAGGGAAATTTATGGTGTTCATGAACCTATGGTCTCTCTACCAAATTAGATACTTTATGTACATATTTCTTAGAATTAATCTAATACTCCTAAAAGATTAAATGGTGCACTTGATTGAATGCTTAGTTATTTACCTAAAGGAACAATGATCAATTCTCACGTGATGCTACAAGAAAATCGTTTTTTTAGTGGTGCACCGATGTTATAGAAATTCTATATATCCTTATCTGCCCTTGTGGACTCATGATAGAACTCAATTTTCGAGTCATTTACTAAATAATCTGTGCAGTAGATTTTGATTTCTAGGATAACTTTTTTATCAAGTTGCCTTATCTCAGTTAGTCTCCAATACAGCCCTTTAGTTGATATTAGTTCGTTAGAGTAAGTGGTAGTTAATCTTCTAATAGCTTGTTATTTTTCATGATTATTTAGTAATGGAGTGTTAAATGACAAGTTATCAAGTGTAGTGAAAATGTGCCCGAATCCGACTAGTTTGGAGACGTGTTATGTTGATAGATTTATTGTTACTTTATTAGAGAGACTAATATCTAAAGCTCTGTACTGACCCCAAAACCCCTTGATGATTTTTGAAGAAGACTTGTGAGAGCTAAAAGATCACTATGATATCTAAGCTTACATAGAGTAAGAGATTGTATAAAGTATAAACTGATACTGGAGACAAACTGAGAATGATCTTGTGTATAATGATCTAAGTTCGGTTATGTGATGTCTTTGTTCCTGAATGGTGCTCACATAAATTTGCAGGAAATGTCATTCTTAAAGGATATTTTCATTGATAATGAAGCCCATTTTATGGTGCTAATTGTACAGAGCTCATCAACATTTTCAGGTTTGGAGTTGAAATTTGAAACATAGCGTATCATGATTTCAAGCCTTTGATGACTCAGACTGAGATCTAATTTTAGTAATTTTAACGAGAGGTTTTGTTTGACTTATTCGCGTGAAATGGCAGAGCTTTTTGGATATACAGCATGCAGACAATTATTGCAAATGTTCATTTCAATTATATTCTTCCATGTTTCCGAGTACATTCTGGCACTTGTCTTTCATGGGAAGTCGAATGTATCTTTTAAGTCGCTTTTGATAAGCAAACATTATGCACTAGCAATGATTTGCTCCTTGATAGAGTACCTTATTGAAATCTATTTCTTTCCCGGCTTAAAGGAATATTGGTGGATAAGTAATTTTGGCCTTGCAATGGTTGTTCTCGGAGAAATCATAAGGAAGTTGGCAATTGTGACAGCAGGCCAAGCCTTCACTCATCTAATAAAGGTTTATCATGAGGAAAATCATCAGTTGGTTACTAATGGGATCTATAGATTTGTCCGTCATCCCGGTTATTGTGGTTTCTTCATCTGGTCTGTTGGTACGCAAATAATGCTCTGTAATCCAATATCAACCGCTGCATTTACAGTTGTTGTGTGGAAATTCTTCTCGGGAAGGATACCTTACGAGGAGTTTTTCCTCAAGCAGTTCTTTGGTTCTGACTACGAAGATTATATGAGAAAAGTTCCTTCTGGTATTCCACTTGTGAGGTGATTATTCAACAAATCCTCTTCAGGGCTCTATATACATGCATAACGTCATCTGCTCATCGGTGCTGAGATAACACTGTTTAGGAATTTTATCGTCTTAGACACCCTTACAGTTTTCATAATGTGAAGTTTGCCAGAAAAAAGTTCCTCTTTAGATATAACTTCTGAGGTGATGCTTCTATTAACCCTTGTAGAGCGCGTTTATCTTATTTGTATCATCATGTTTTCGTCGTATCATGTCTTTGTTAAGACTTAGCTAACTAGTCTTATGGGGAGCTGTAAGTTATAACTGTATTTGTAGTTATGGCTGATGGGACAGTGTTTTTATCACACTCTTAAGGAGAAGAAGGCTTTGTAACATTTTCTTTAATTTGTCAATTCACTTCATCTCAATTATGGTTTTTTTTAACAGTATTAGCTTAAGACATGGTGATGAAACAACTTCTAAGCATTCACCACATTTATGTACAGTCATATTTCTATAACGATCATCGTCCTATATAGCAATATTTCATTATAATTGCCAAGTTTTTTTGGCCTGATAAATTGGACAATCTTAGAGTGAGCTTTGGATAATGGTTTACTTAATGTGAACCTAAAAGATTTCCAGAACTATAAGCCAGGCACATTTAATGAGAAAACAGTAACTAAATTAGTAAAATTCTAACCATGATGTCCTAAAAGAGAAGAAAAAAGGAGCCATAGTGTCTTTCCTTCTTTTCTTTTTTTTTTTGGATTTTCAATTTGGTATTTGATATTCGTATCGAAGCTTGATTAACTCGAATTTACTGACTCATTTTGAAAAAACGCTTCCTAACAAGGATTTTTTGTTTGACAGTAATAAAGCCACAATGTCCATTTCATTTTCTATTATGACTTGAAGAAATCATTTGGACCAAGATTTCTGTATGTTTCTACTCGCATTGATTGGACTCATCAAAAATATTGTTGGATTCGTAAAATCATTTTTTTTAATAAACACACTACCTTTGAAAGATCTGATAACACCCTCAGCAACTTTTAAGAATTCAAATCTGATCAATCTATCAACTGAGTTACTAAAATTGAATTTTCAGTCAATTGAGCTACTTATCAAACCAATTGAGCAACTAAGATTCCGACCAACCCAATTGGCTGGCACTTCTTCCTTAGCATAGCACAGAAATCTGTGCTTATTTCTGTTCCATCTGATGTTCTAACAACATGCCCATTAATCAAACTTCCTTAAATCCTATGTCAAATGACAAAAGACACTTCTTTATTCAAAAAACTCATCACTTGGGACCTCTTCTCCCTCCCAAACTCAACACCCTTCGCCAAGATTCTAGATTCTTACATCAATTCCAAGTCCCAATATGTCATACAAACTGTCCATTGTCGAATTCTCAAGACCCATTTTAGCTCCGAAGTTTTCATAAACAACAAGCTAATCGACACTTATGGGAAATCTGGAATGTTAAAGTATGCCAAGAAGGTGTTTGATAAAATGCCTGAGAGAAACACCTTTACTTGGAATTCCATGATAAATGCATATACAGCATCAAGATTGGTTTTTGAGGCTGAGGAACTGTTTTACTTGATGCCTGAGCCTGATCAATGCTCGTGGAATTTGATGGTTTCGAGCTTTGCTCAATGTGAATTGTTTGATTCGTCAATAGAGTTTCTTGTGAGAATGCACAAAGAAGATTTTGTTTTGAATGAGTATGGTTATGGAAGTGGTTTAAGTGCTTGTGCAGGGTTGAGGGACTTGAGAATGGGAACTCAACTTCATGCCTCGGTTGCTAAATCGAGATATTCGAGAAGTGTTTACATGGGTTCTGCGCTTATTGACATGTACTCGAAAACTGGTAATGTGGATTGTGCAGCAAAGGTGTTTAATGGGATGTGTGAGCGTAATGTGGTGTCGTGGAATAGTTTACTTTCTTGTTATGAGCAAAATGGGCCAGTGAAGGAGGCTCTTGTGGTATTCGCTAGGATGATGGAGTTCGGGTTTAAACCAGATGAGAAGACCTTGGCAAGTGTAGTAAGTGCTTGTGCGAGTTTGTGTGCGATAAGAGAAGGTAAGGAAATTCATGCCCGAATTTTGAAGTCGGATAAGCTTAGGGATGATCTTATCATATGCAATGCATTGGTTGATATGTACGCAAAGTTTGGGAGAATTGCTGAAGCTAGATGGATTTTTGATAGGATGCCAGTCAGAAGTGTGGTGTCCGACACCTGTTTGGTAAGTGGTTATGCGAGAGTTGCAAGTGTGAAGACTGCAAGAGCCGTGTTTTTGGGGATGATTGAAAGGAATGTTGTGTCTTGGAATGCTCTTATTGCTGGATATACACAGAATGGGAACAATGAAGAGGCACTAAATCTCTTTCTTATGCTAAAAAGAGAACCTGTTTGGCCAACTCATTATACGTTTGGGAATCTCCTTAATGCATGTGCAAATTTAGCTGATCTGAAGCTTGGGAGGCAGGCTCATGCACATATTTTGAAGCATGGATTTCGTTTCCAGAATGGACCCGAGCCTGATGTTTTTGTGGGAAATGCTCTCATAGACATGTATATGAAATGTGGATCAGTTGAAGATGGTAGCTGTGTATTCACAAAAATGCTGGACAGAGACTGGGTTTCATGGAATGCCATAATAGTTGGATATGCACAAAATGGGCATGCTATGGAAGCTCTTGAAACTTTCAAGGTTATGTTAGTATCCGGAGAGAAGCCAGATCACGTGACTATGATTGGAGTTCTATGTGCATGTAGTCATGCAGGATTGGTTGAGGAGGGGCGTCAATATTTCTATTCCATGGACACAGAGTATGGGTTGACACCGTTTAAGGACCACTATACATGCATGGTCGATTTACTTGGCAAGGCTGGTTGCTTAGAAGAGGCAAAGGATTTGATTGAATCCATGCCGATGCCACCAGATAGTGTAGTATGGGGGTCTTTGCTCGCTGCATGTAAAATTCACATGGAAATTGAGTTGGGAAAGTATGTAGCTGAGAAGCTTTTGGAGATTGATCCTACAAATTCTGGCCCTTATGTTCTTCTATCAAACATGTATGCTGAACAAGGAAGATGGCAAGATGTCAAAATGGTCCGAAAACTTATGAGACAACGAGGCGTTGTTAAACAGCCTGGTTGTAGTTGGATTGAAATACAAAGCCAGGTTCATGTTTTCATGGTAAAAGATAGGAGACACGCCCAGAAAAAAGAGATATATTTGATATTGAATACACTAACTAAATTGATGAAGCTTTCTGGCTATGTCCCAAATGCTGGTCATTTGGATGGTGATGAGGAGCAAACCATGTTGGATTTTTCCTCATCTGAAGAGTTTGAAGAACCTGTAATAGCTGCCATTGCATGCTAAGTTTAGCGGACTCGTCACTTTTGATGCCGCACCCGTGTCGGATTCTCCCAAAATACACTATTTTTGGAGGATCCAACACGCACCCATTGACATTTTTGAAGAGCCCGAGCAATATATGTTGCATGATGGTAGAGGTGGCTGCTGGAAATTGCGAGTTCCCTGTACTTGCCTAGAAAGAGTTTGTCAATATCTTTTAGGTGTAATACATAGACAGACACTTTAACTTGGTCTTCACTGGCAGTTGAACACTCCAACTTTCATTGTGACCATCTAGACACTTCAACCGGACACAAGTGCATTTCACAAACACCTTAACTTTGAAAATGCACATCTAGACACCTTTAAGAGGGTGCATTCTCAAAGTTGGATGCTTACTGTGCCAATTTAAATCAAATTACGGTGTCTAGATGTAGATTTTCAAAATTGAAATGTTTAGTTGTTGGTCGAGACTACGTTAAAATGTCTATCTATATATTATGTTTATTTTTTCAGGAATCCTCTCTCAATCGCCAAGGAGAACAGAGGCAGAAACACATTAGGAAATGTAATTTTAAAGACATGTCATTATAATGTACCTCACTTTAACAAATATCACATATTCATATTTATTGGATCGGTTTTTCTCTCTCACTTTATTTGGATGGTTGTTATATATTGTTTTATAATGTATAGCATAGTATCGTATTGTATTATTTTAATGAATACACTATTTTGGATAGATTGTATCGTTCTCTGTCATACATAATGTCAAAATTGGGTACATGGTAGAGCTACTATAAAATGATAGGATAAAAAATGAATTTGAATAAGTAGACATATGCGTCCTCTGTGACATCCTACGCGGCCAATTTGCATCCTATGTATATTTTGTCACCTAACACATGTGTATCTACTTGTTCAATTTTATATCAGGTTCAGTTCAATGTACAAAAATATTTGCATAAGGCACAATCATTTATGCACAAGGTATAATATATGAAAAAGCTATATTTCTTAACTTGATCTCAATGAATATCTATGTCTTATAATTTTGGATACATACTCTATATAAAATAAGATTTTTCGCCATTAAGAACCTAAAGTTATAGTGGGTAACCCCTAAAAGAAGAAACCAAAACTATCGATCCAAATACGCCCACGCCAATCGCAGATAGGCTTTTTTCTATTTGGAAATAAAAACCAAAATGGTATTACAACAATAGGCCGAAGCCATCTCAATCTTCTTCTTTTTCTTCTGATGAAAATTAAGAATGTTGGGTGGGTCTCGGTGTATATCTCAGCACTGTAATTTTCATTGCAGTGCTCACCAATTTTCCACCATTTTAGCTGCTTCTACACTAACCTCAAATTCTTCCTTCAAGAATTTTAGAATCAGATTGAGGAACAGGAATAGTAATAGTTCTTGTTTGAGCAATAAAGTTTGTGATTTTGGGGTCAATTGTGTTCAACCCAAATCTTCAGATACCCAAAGCTCTTTGCTTTCTGAAACTTTGAGGTAATTTATTGTAATTTGAGCAGTAAATTTAGTGATTTTGGGTAATTTTGAGGTAGTTATCATAGATTCTTGTTTGAGCAATGAAGTGAGTGATTTTTTGGGGTAATTTTGAGGTATGCATCGTAGTTAGTGATTGTGAGGTCAATTGTGTTCGACCCAAATCTTCAGATACCCAAAGCTCTTTACTTTCTGAAACTTTGAGGTAATTTATCGAACTAATTTAATGATTTTGGGGGTAATTTTGAGGTATTTATCATAGATTCTTGTTTGACTAATGAAATTAGTGATTTTTGGGGTAATTTTGAGGTATTCATCATAGACTCTTGTTTGACTAATGGAATTTAGTTTGGGGTAAATTTTGAGGTATTTATCATAGATTCTTGTTTGACTAATGAAATTAGTGATTTTTGGGGTAATTTTGAGGTATTCATCATAGACTCTTGTTTGACTAATGGAATTAGTTTGGGGTAATTTTGAGGTATTTATCATAGATTCTTGTTTGACTAATGAAATTAGTGATTTTTGGGGTAATTTTGAGGTATTCATCATAGACTCTTGTTTGACTAATGGAATTAGTTTGGGGTAATTTTGAGGTATTTATCATAGATTCTTGTTTGACTAATGAAATTAGTGATTTTTGGGGTAATTTTGAGGTATTCATCATAGACTCTTGTTTGACTAATGGAATTAGTTTGGGGTAATTTTGAGGTATTTATCATAGATTCTTGTTTGACTAATGAAATTAGTGATTTTTGGGGTAATTTTGAGGTATTCATCATAGACTCTTGTTTGACTAATGGAATTAGTTTGGGGTAATTTTGAGGTATTTATCATAGATTCTTGTTTGAGCAATGAAGTTTGTGATTTTTGGGGTCAATTGTATTCGACCCAAATCTTCAGACACCGAAAGTTCTTTACTTTCTGGAAGTTTGAGGTAATTTATCATACTCTAAGCAGTAATTTGAGGTACTTATCATACATGTTATTGCTAGAGGTAAAGTTAAGTAATTTTGGGATTTTTTTCATCAGTTGTGTACAACCTAAATCTTAGATATCCAAAGCTCTTTATTTTCTGAAAGTTTGAGGTAATTTATCGTAACTGTTCTTCTTTGAGCAGTAAATGTGGTGATTTTTGGGGGTAAACTGATCTATTTATCATAGAAGTTCTTGCATGAGCGGTAAGATTTAGTCATTTTAGGATTTTTTAATCAACAACCTAAATCTTAGATATTCAAAGCTCTTTACTTTTTGTAAGTTTGAGGTAATTTATTAACTTATCTTCTTTGAGCAGTGACTATAGTGACTTTTGGGGTAGTTTGAGATATTTATCATATTGTTCTTGCTTGAGCGGTAAGATGTAGTTATTTTGGGATTCTTTCTGTCAATTGTGTACAACCTAAATCTTTGATGCCTAAAGCTCTTAACTTTCTGAAAGTTTGAGGTAATTCAACATGTCTGCTCTTGTTTGAGCAGTAAATTGAGTGATTTTGGCCCCCCAGGGCTTTAGTCAAAGTGATAAGAGCCCAACACGTGACGTCGCGTTAGGTGCACAACACGGGTTAGAGCAGTTCCACAGTCAAAAGCCTGGTATTTAAGTGGGTAAGGGTAGAGGGGCGGGCCCGTCATAGGGCGAGTTTCGAACTGTGCACCACTAGCCTTTGGGGATTTCTCGGTTATCAAAAGAACAAAAAATCGAGTGATTCTGGGGGCTATTTTATCAGTTGTGTTCAACCCGAATATTTAGATTCCAAAGTTCCGTGCATTTAATAGTTTGAGGTAGATCATTTTTTTCCCCTTAAAACCTTTTGTCATTGAAAAGACAAATGTAGAAAAGGAAGCTCTTTTGTTAAGCCTTGATTTATAAGCTTGTGATTGCTGGAAATGGAATGGGTGAATGAAAGGTTGGAAGCAGACCTTTATAAATGCAATAAGATGAAAGGGGAAATTTAGTTAAAGCTATAAGTTTGGATCTCATTTTTGACATAAACAATATGTAAAGTTTATTGGAATATCATATAAGTATGGGCAGGTATGCCTTTGTGCTTAGTAAACTGTGGTGTGGTTGACTTTTTATTGTATATCTAAAATAAATAGATAATGTTATTTCTTTCTTAACTGTTTAAAGTTTTAGATGAGAGGATTCACACACTTTAACTGGGCAACAGAGTAGAGAGTAGACGGCCCCATGTTTGAGTCTTGTTTCCAGTCATCTACAAAAACAGTTCCGCATACTTGGCTCAATAGAAAGAATCAGGTGCTACACAAGAAGCGTGTTGTGACCTAAAACAAATAAGTAAGAGTGTCTTCCTTTAATAATATGAGTTTTTAGATGAGATGGTTACACATTTAAATAGTTTCATCTGGACATAGTATTTGGGGTAGTTTTCATTTTATGTTTAAATGAAGCTTACAAAGGTCTGAGAGCTTTTCATTCCATTGCATTGACATTGTAATGTCATTTTGTATTTAAGTATGACTCTCCTTAGAATCCCAGTGCTAAATTGTAATGTCATTTTGTATTTATGTTTAAATGAAGCGTACAACGGTCTGAGAGCTTTTCATTCCATTGCATTGACATTGTAATGTCATTTTGTATTTAAGTATGACTCTCCTTAGAATCCCAGTGCTAAATGTGTGTTCTATTTCATGTAAAGCCAATCTGGAACAGATGAGGAGCCTCCATCAGAAAGATTGCCCATTCTTACAGGTTTGTTCGTGCCCATATACTACTAGTAATAAAATTATCAAACGACATTTCATCATTTCATGTATGCTGAATTTATATTAATACACATTTTCATTTATTCTAACTTATGAAGTTTTTTCAATGATTAAATGCTACATAGATGCCTTGTTAGTTGTTGTCAGCCATTCTTTATGTCATAATCTTTGTTGCATTGCTCTATTGGCTCTTATGCTTATTCTTTCCTTTTGTAATTTCTTTTATTTTTCTCTGCCTGGTTTCTAAAGAAAATGTAGGAAATAGGTATCAAGATTTGGCCATTTCTTTTAGTGTACATATATATATGTGTTGCAATCTGTGTACGTCAGTCCTCTGTTATACTGCAAGGTCAAAGAACAGCCCTTAGTATCACAGCATAAAAACCCTGTGAAAAACGTTGAAATATGTTCCAATACACGAGTCATCACAAAGAGAAATATTGTCCATTGTCTCATCAATTTGTTTTGTTAATACTTCAGACCTGTTCTTTCGACATACTTTTTACTTTATTTTTTTATAAGAAATAAAGTTTTGATGGGTTTTCAACTCCTATCTCTTCTCTTTCGTTTTTAAAAAAATAAAAACTCCTATCACCTCTCTGAAGTTCAAGTGGTTGATCCTTCTTTTCAGCTGGAGCAATTTAGCCCCTGTAAATGATGTTATTCCTCTTGTAGATGTCATTGGCTCCCTGTCTTTGGCTTAACAGCCAAACCTCTGGTCATTTAGAGAAATGGCTCAATGCTCTATCGGTAGTTTTTTGTATCTAGGAGCTTTCCCTTTTTCTCCTTTGTACTCATTCAGCATCTTCTTGATGCCAGTCAATATGACTTACTTGCCAAAAAACTTTACTTTTGTATAAGAAGATCAGGGGTAATCTAGCTGTGAATAGTTGAATGGTCAATCTGCAAGTTTGTTCTAAATTTACTTAGGACCTACAATTACTTTCTTCAATTAGTAAGTTTTAGTTCTGATTGTTGGTTATCATCAAAGAAATAAAGAGAGTTTCAATTCCCCTTGTTATAATTGCGTTGTAAATGAGAAGAAAATAGAGGATTTGTGGATATCATTTATGTGTAAAATCTCAATTATTATTTTTCTTTTCAATAGGCGGGATAGTAGCTCTAGGGAAATTTGATGCACTCCATATTGGTCACCGCGAGCTTGCAATTCAAGCAGCAAAGAGAGGAATTCCGTTTCTTCTTTCATTTGTTGGAATGGCGGAAGTACTTGGATGGGAACCGAGGTATAACTTCTGTTGTCTTAGGTTTTACTCACTGTCATAGCATGTTAAACAGAGAAATATTATCTCCTCGAAATACCAGAAAAGGAGAGAAGGACGAACTTCGACACGACTCGACTCTCACTGCTTCACCCAATCCTGTAATAGTACCTAGGATCAACTTTAAATTCTGAAAATACAAAAGGAAAGAGGATTATCACATTCAGGGAGTTCTATCTTGCATTCTCTAAGTGTGTGCGAGTCTTAACTTGTAGCAATATTCCATCCTAGCTCCTCTGATTTAGCATAACTCTATGGACCCCGTTGACGCTCTTTCTCCAAAGCACTAGACTTTGTTAAGTAGCATTCTTGAGTTTAGAAATTTCTGTTAATAGGATGATCAATCAGAACATGTGCAAAGAAGGAAGAAAATATATCCATACATTTTAGTTCATTTAAGTTTTAATGAAAAGCATAAAATAAAGAAACCGATCAATCAATCTCCGCATCAGAATTTTCTTTTCCAACAGGAAAACTTAAGTTAATGTTCTCTCTTCTTTTTTTCACTGTTTTAGCGACAAGTGAAAGTTTGTGATGATATCTTATAGCTTTTTTGCAGTATCTTGTCCTTCATCTAAAATTCAAAGGATGTCCTTATCAACATGTTACACAATCTTGATTTGCTCCTTGGAAATAAAATATTTTCAAACTTTATTCTACTCAAGTAGTATATAGGATTAGTCATGGTTTAGAAAATTTGGTGTTTGAAGCTGGAAGGTGTTTAAAATCTGTTGAATGTATCCTCCTAACCTTACTCAAGTATACTGAGAAGTTCCTTTTTTGGTTAGTGGTCTTTATGAAATGCCACATCATGAAATGAGAAATAATATTTGTGATCATGTGTATATTTTCTAACAGGGCTCCCATTGTTGCTGAATGTGATCGTAAAAGGATTCTTTCGTCTTGGGCTCCTTATTGTGGTAATGTAATGCCAAGGGAACTCCAGATAGATTTTTCAAAAGTTCGATATCTTACGCCTTGTCAGTTTGTGGAGAAGCTTTCCAAAGAGTTGGGAGTACGAGGAGTTGTTGCTGGTATGTTGTAACATCCTAACTCGGTATTGAGATTCCAATATAAACTAACAAAAGATAAAAAAAAGATGTTGATATCTTGATGACCTCAGGCGAGAACTATCGTTTTGGATATAGAGCTGCTGGTGATGCATCAGACCTTGTGAAGCTCTGTGAAGAGTATGGATTAGAGGCCTATATAATCAATTCTGTCATGGACACAAATCAAATTTCTGGAGCCTTAAACTCTATTGACGGAAAAGAGAGAGGGCAAGTATCATCTACTCGTGTGAGGTATGCCCTTCACAAGGGAGACATGAAATATGTGTCAGAGCTATTAGGTCGGAACCATCGTCTTATTTTAATGATGGAAGACCAAGAAAGGTTTACTAGTGAGAGAAATAGGCTGTCAGCTCCAAAGTCTTGTTTGTTGAATCTTGCACCTAAGGAAGGTCTTTATGAGAATTGTTCAGTTTTGATTGACAAGAATGTTATACCCTGCAGAGTAATAGTTGATACAACAGATATTCATTTGGAATGCTATGAGGTAGATAGTTTTTCCTGTGTTACTTCTCAAGACTTAAAGATATTGGGTATTGACTTTGGTAGTCCAGAGTTAGATGGGGTTCAAATTTTGTAATTCATTCCCTATAATTTTTTAGTGCAACCATTTCTGAATGTCCTTCAGTCTTTAAGTGTGAGTATGATTCTTTAAGCGGTACCTTTCTGCTCAATTCACATTCTTTTTACGGGAACATAGCTGAATTTACTGATATTCTAATTTCTAAGAATCTGATAGTATGAATAGAATCGAGATGATAAATGTGCAACAAAATAGCAAATATCATTATGTAATGACTTTTGACCATTACCATACATAATGGATTTTGTTCTATCACTACATGTAGATTGGTTAACAATTTGGTTACTGTTACTCTTTCCTTGTTTGAGTGTTCTTGTATTTGTTCTAATTAGTGACAATCCCTTGATTATAATCCTGTCGTACTTGATTGGCTATTATCCTTTCCGCCAATATCTTTAGTGCTTGAAGTCCATTTCCTTCAATTCATTTGTAATTGTTGAAATGTGTGAACCATCTCATCTACAACTTTGGACTGTTAAAGGGGGGCACATATTACCTTAAAAACGATGTTGTCTCATCTAAAATCTTAAATAAAAAGGGAACACTTTTTTTTTAACGGTAGTGAATGCAATACGTCTATAACCACTGTTGGTGTCCACTTACTTTGAGCATGTTTGAATCCTTATAAGGAGTGCTTCTTGTAGACTTCTGCTCTCTCATTCCTGTTAGAGTGGTTTTACCTGATACTCATCATCAAGTAGGTGGTTATCTGAAATGTTTGTTTCACGGATAAGGAAATCTTGCTGTGATCTTTAAGAGTGTTCTTTGACAACTGTAGAAGATCAAACTGTATAGATTCAGACATGTATAAAGGTGGAACCAATGTCTTAGGCTGTAGCACGTTAGAGAGAGAGAGAGAGATATGTAAATTTGAAGGGATTGTAGAACATGATGAATGTTGCTTGGAAGTCTACAGATCTTCATATATTAAATTCAGGAGAGTAGTTTCAAATTTTTCGTTGGAAGCAGGGATGATCTTGTTGTACAAAGGTCCTTGGTATTTGGGTTCCTGCAGTGATACTTTTGGGTTCATCTCGTGGGTCTCCCAAGGCATTGTCTACTAAGCTTTTGCCATTGAAATTGGTAAACTGTTAGCAGAATGTTACCATGGAGAGATAAGGGAGAAGCTCGGTAGTGGACCACTGTTTCTTCAATGATCTTCGTCCATTTTGTCGGTGCATCAAGTTGAATGGTCCAGAAGGAGAAGTGGGGTTCTCCTTCCTCAAGTGCGAACAGTTTCCTGCTGTGTTTCATGTTTCTTTTCTGTTTAACAAATTGTGTTTTATATGTGGTCTGATTGACCATATATTAGAAGCTGCACATTGAAGGATGATCCTCGATCTACTTAATGCAAAAGGATCTTGCTTTGTGGGGCTTGGTTCAATGTCTTGATAAATTTAGATTGAAGGTATTGTGCTGCCATTGTTGGAGATGTATTTCTGGCTTATGCTTTGATTTGAAGCATATGTAGGAACTTTTGATGGGCCTAAAGAGGTCATGAAAGGAAACTCAGATGCAAATCTTGGGACGATGCAACCCTGAATCTACATACTCATCGCCTGGGTCCTATAATCTCATTGCTTCAATCTAAAGATCTCGAAAGCAGGTATGAACAATAACTGAAGGCAGATCCAAAAGTTTAAATCAGTATGTATAGATTATAGAGTATTAGAATTAGAGACTAAGGTAGTAGATTCGGGCATAGCTAAGAATCCTATTTGACATACTACCATGCTAATAATGTACTGGAACCCTATCAGTTATAACTGTTTATTCATGTAACGTTGTGTTGGAAGGATGCAACTTGCTATAAGGTCAGAGGGCCAGAGGCTGTGATCCTATTGTGCTGCATCGAACTCTACATAATTTGCATGTCATTGAGATCTTATTGAAAGACTGCTCCCAGGGCTTTGGTCTAGTGGTAAGATTGCAACACGTAATGGGTAGGTTAGGAACACGTTACAGATTCGGTATTTAAGTGGAGAAGGGCAAGGGGCCCGGCCCCTTGTCCATCTACTTCTGAACTGTGTGCCACTGGCCCTCACAGATTTCTCAGTTTTTTAAAAAAAGATTGTTGAATACTGATGCTAGCTCAACTTATTACTTCTATTCCTCTTTGTCCCTCGTGATCCAGTGACAAGCTTATGAAGTATTTGAGAGAAGAGTGGTATTTAAAGGTACTTCCCGAAGTGAAGTTCTTTCTTTGAAAGATTGGAAGATATCCTACACACTCGGCTATATCTGGTAAAGAGATGGTGCTGTGGCTAATTCTATATGTGATTTATGTAATGAGATTGTGTTCTCCTGCCCTGTTCCTTCATGTTTTCTCCACCAAAGCTATGATTCTCATGTTGGCCTTCAAGTTGTTCCTAACAAATTAGATCAATAGGAAAGGGCTGTTCTTTCTACTTCCTTATGATCATTTTGGTGTATAAGGACTCCAGTGATCTTTCAAGGATCTTCTTATAAAGTCTTGAATTTGCTTGATCATCGTCTATTCACATCTGGTGTTTTTTTGGCTACTTGAATCAAAATTTCAGGTATTCCAGGTAATGTTGTAAGTTAGATTGAGGAACTTCTACTGGCCAGTTTTAGCTAATCTACATGGTGTTTTGATATCCTTAGAGCTGGAATTTGTTGTTCCTAGGGAGTAGCATGAGGAATCCTCCAAGTCTCATTACTTCAAAACTTGCATTTTGCTAAGATGAATCATTTCTGATTCACCATTAACCAGAGGTCTCGGGTTCGAGTCTTGGGTATGGAGAAAATCATGTTGGGAGCGCCACCCCTGAATGGACCCTGCAGTGCGTGATCTGGATTCGAACCCTGGGTTGGGAGAAAATCATTTCTGCAAATGAAAGTCACTCTGAATACTTTGCAGACATGAAAGGGAATAAGATTATGAATATTTGCAGACAATTTTTTGGGGGGATAGCTTACTTACATTATGGTGTTTACATCAAATTATGAGTATTAAATGTATTAATTTTGTCATTAAGTGACAAGAAGATATGTAAATGATACATATTATGTGTACTTATTATTGAATTGACCTAAACATTTGAGTATGGGACCCTTGTGTCAATTAGTGCCAACAATGTAATTGAGCGTCATTAATCTTAGGATACCAAAGGACAAATAATGAATACTCCCTCTGTCCCAATTTATATGACTTACTTTCCTTTTTAGTCAGTACCCAAAAAGATGACACATTTCTATTTTAAGTAACAATTTGCCTATAAAATGTCTTTTTTACCCTTAATGAAATGATTTACAACCACACAAATTTCTATCATTCATTTTGGACCACAAGTTTTAAAAAGTCTTTCCATTTTTCTTAAAGTTTGTGCCAAATCAAAGTACATCATATAAAATGGGACGGAGGGAGTAATAATTAATAAGATGGTACATAGAATAAAGGGTGTTTAATGCGAATATACTATATGTTAGTTGGAATTTAATCATTTAATCTTGTAGGAGTCGTTTGGTAAGATGTATTGTAACAAAGGCTGAATATAGTGTATTACTAGTAATATTGAGATTAATATTGTTGTTATTAGTTATGTTGATATTATTTTTATCGATGATTTGATTTACTGTATAAAATCAATAAGATGTATTAGGATAAAAATAGTGTCAAATATAGTGTATTATTATTAGAATATAAATACTATCACATATTGTTAATGCCATTATTATTATTATTATATGTAAGAATAATACTGAATATAGTATAAATACTATCACATATTGTTAATGCCATTATTATTATTATTATATGTAAGAATAATACTGAATATAGTATAAATACTATCACATATTGTTAATGCCATTATTATTATTATTATATGTAAGAATAATACTGAATATAGTATATTAGTTGCGCATAATTTGGAAACACTACTAAATAAAAATTAAATAATATCAATTAAGGTGTATATATATATATATGTATATATATATTTCTTTAATAGCTCTTACTAAATTACCCTAATGTTGGTATATATTATGCTTCATAAGTTGGTAACCACCACATTCCAACTACTCCCTCAATTTCAAAATAGTTTTATTTTTCGAGAGTCAATTTAATTAATGTTCAAAGTTAAGTTAGATTACATTAATTTAATATTTTAAAGATATTAAAAATTATACGATAAATTGTATTTTTTTTTCATATTAATATAATAAAAAATACATTTCATAAGATTAATCAAAGATCATATTATTTAACTCTTAAAAATAAATCATGACAAATATTTTGAAACAAAGAATTATTTCTATAAAAAAACTTAGAGCCTTAAGCCAACTCGTAATTCTTTATGTTCAATTTTCTTAGTCGATGCTTATACTAAATCAATAAATATTTAATACTACATAATTTTACCTTGCTAAATCATAGTATGGTTAATTAATACTCCATATAGTCCAAAACCCTATAAATAGCAAAACAAACACAAAATGAAAAGATAACTCCTCTTTCTTTCCAATAAGATTAGAACCTTAAACTTCTCCGATGGCCAGCGACGACTCTCATCTGCAAAACGACGTCGTTTCTGTCCACTGTATAAACGACAGTCTCGGCGACGACGAGCTTCGGGCCGTACTGTCGAGGCTCGGAGACGACAAAGACAAGGAAGTTTTCGGGCTGGTATGTAAGCGGTGGCTTCGTATTCAAAGTACTGAAAGGAAGAAGCTTTGTGCTCGGGCCGGGCCTCACATGCTCAGAAAAATCGCGGCCAGATTCACTCGATTACATGAGCTTGATCTATCTCAATCGGTTTCTAGATCTTTCTATCCTGGTGTTACTGATTCTGATCTTTCAGTTATTGCTACTGCTTTCTCTTGCTTACGGATTCTCAATCTTCAGAACTGTAAAGGTTCGTTTTTGTATTTTTAAAAAGTTTTATAGTTTGAAAGTTGTTGAATTTGAATGTTCATTGCTGAAGTGAACCTGAGCTACTGCAGGAGAGGCCAAATGCACCAGTGAGTAGTAGTATGTGTAGTGATATTTCACATTTAGTACTGATTTAAAATATTGAATTTGTCTTTGTGTGGGGTGGTGGAGCAGGGATTTTCACTTAAAGGGTTTGAAATACATAAAACATAATTTAACCACGTATAACCGGTTTGGGTGAACCCCTGGGCCCTTATTAGCTCCGCCCCTGCCTGTGTGGGGTGGTAGGTGTATTGTTCCCAACTTGGACATCAAGGAAATTTTGAGGTTTGACTAAAATCTATTGTTTGAAATGTTAAAGGTTTTGACCCGATATGGCGAAGACTGGCTCTTCCTCTTTTCTATCTTGTAAATAATGGTTTTTATGATAAAAAGGGCGTAATGGGGTTTATGGAGGATTTTAGGTGAATTTATGGTTGGTTTTTTTGAAGATTTGTAGGATTTTGTGTTTCTGTGTAAAGGTTATGTCTTTTTTGCTATGTGGTTTTTGAAGTGGTAGCAAAAGGGAGGATAGTGTAGTTATATCATATGTATTCCAATTTTCAAGAGAAAGTCTAACTTTGTTGCGAATCTAAGGCTCAGATGCTTCCTTGACTTAACTTGCGCGGTTTTCTGGTCCAAATTTACAGGCATAACAGACAATGGATTGGCAGCGATTGGATCAAGTCTCTCTTCTTTACAGTCCTTAGATGTATCCTACTGCAGAAAGATCACAGACAAGGGGCTTTCAGCTGTTGCTGAGGGGTGTCATGACTTGAGAACGTTGCATCTTGCTGGCTGTAGATTTGTCTCAGATTCATTAATGAAAGCTCTCTCCAAGAATTGTCATTATGTAGAAGAGCTAGGTTTGCAAGGATGCACCAACATTACCAACTCAGGTCTCTCTGTTTTGGTTGAAGGTTGCCGGAGGATAAAGTATTTGGACATTAACAAATGCAGCAATATTGGTGATATTGGGATAACTAGCGTGTCTGAAGCTTGTTCATTGACACTTAGGACATTGAAGTTGTTGGATTGCTACAAAGTTGGTGATGACTCCATCTTATCCTTGGCCAACTACTGCAAAAATCTTGAGACACTTGTTATTGGTGGTTGCCGTAACATATCAGATGAGCCTATGAAGTCACTGGCAGCTTCTTGTAGTAATAGTCTGAGGAAACTGAGGATGGATTGGTGTTTGAATATTACTGACTCTTCATTGGACTGCATCATTTCCAAATGCAGAGAGCTTGAGGTTCTCGACATTGGCTGCTGTGAGGAGTTAACTGATGCTGCATTTCAACAATTAGGAAGTGAAAACATTATGTTGGGGATGAAGATTTTGAAGGTCAGTAACTGTCCAAAGATAACTGTTGAAGGAATTAAGAAGCTTATGAAGTCATGTGAATATCTTGAATATCTAGACGTACGGTCTTGTCCCCTAATCACTAAAGCAGGGTGTGAGGAGGCTGGAATTCAGTTTCCTGAATCCTGCAAAATAAACTTCACTGGAAGCTTAGCAGAGCCAGATGTGTTACTTTGAGCAGTACTTGATTTAGCAATGTCTTTGAAGGACTGAAGGGGATCATGCAGTGAAATTATCACATTCTTTGCCTAAGACCTAAAATATGACTTTGGAAGCTCCTGATGTCAGTCCCTTGTTCCCATTAATTTGCCTTTTGTTAAGCATCAAGTGTTTTGTTGTAGATTATTTCCCTGCTTTTCAGTTTTTTTTTCCCCTGCTTTTCAGTTATTTGATATCAAACTCCTGTATATCATCCTTGTAAACTACTAGTAGGCACCATTGTTTCCTGTAGGTGTTTTCAGATTGTGAATGAAATGAGTCCATTGCTGCTAGCTTGAATGTGAACTTATACCAACAATGATGGTTTGATTGATTACATTTCTTGTACGACCTGTCCAATTATATTTGCCAGTTCAGGTTTCGTGTGTGTGAGACAGTGCTTGCTTATCCACGGTTGGATTGTGTTACCTGTAACTGCTTATAGTTTGAATTTACAGGAGCCATATTTTAACTAATTGTCCAAAGAAGTTTATCAGACTGCAAGATAGGAACCAGTGTTCTGATTGTAAAATGGCTTAATTTATTTTAGTGACGGTACAACATTTTTTTTCATGTTGATAGTGTATTTTAGCATGTTATAGTAGGTAAGTTGCCTTTACATTGACAGTGTATATTAACGTCTTGTAGCAGGTAACTTGCCCAGATTTTCAGGTTACTAAATCCACCTTTTTTAAACAGTTACCTGTGGTTATCATTTATGTAACTTGATAGTGTAAAATGCAGAGAAGTTAAACACACTGCCAATTTTAGTATTTCAAATTGGCTGGTTCATCATTTTCTGGACGATGATACCAGTTCACTTTTCATGAATGGGTAGCATTCCATTGTGAGAATGGCTACACCTTTTCTTATCTCAAGGTGTGAGGAAACTACAGACCAGAAAAATGATGATGATCACTTAGATTCTTAAATTGATATAGTGTGGTTTCCCGGCCTCAGCATATTGAATTACAACATGGAAATATCCCTCAAACTGACTTCACAATTTCAACTGCAGATTTTATATCTTATTTCATTTTATCCAAAAGATAAATAATTTGAAGACACTATATCATACTAAAAAAAACTTGAAGGCAGCAAAGCTTGTGAATGCAGTATTAAATTTGCGTATAAACAATCTAAAATGCTAATCCTATAACTAGCATATTGTTCTTGTTTTCATATCTACCACTTGGGTCATAAAGTCTACTCTAAGGACAAGTAGAAAGCTAAATGAATCTACAAAAAAAACCAATCTATCTGCACAAGTTTTATAATAAATTTATACATT